TGGGGGGGGGGGAGCTGTTCCAGAGGCAAAGCAGTTGAATTGTTATCTACGTGCTCTTCTGTCCCGTGTTTCCTTACATCAAGGGGAAATCCAGAAATCTGGTTTTAAAATGAAAAATGATTACAAGTAGTCCCTAGTTTAAGAACAAGTTCCGTTCCCAAGCTCTGTCCGTAAGCTGAATTTATATGTAAGCCAGAACAGTATTATTGTATAATACTGTACAAGTAGTATTGTGTAGTGAACTCAAATCATTGTGTATTTAACTCAAATTCTGCTACAATAGGCTCCATTCTTAACTATAGGTCTTAACCCAAGGATGATCTGTATTTACAACAAAGACACTAGAATACCCTTGAATCCAGCCTGGTTCTCTGCTTTCCCCATCATTTTTGGGGTGTACTAGTCCCTCCAAACTAGTAACTTCTCTCTTTATTGAACCTCTTGATTTCCCCTTGTTTTGTTTTCAGTGCCAAGAACTTCAGCCAGACCGCCTTCTCCCAAGGGCACAAGATGTCCACTGAGGATTACAAAAAACTGTGAGTATCTCAAAGTGAAGATGTAGGACCAGCTGCTGGGCTAACTGGGAGCACAGCATAAGAGTCGTCATTCAACCTCTGTCGGAGGATTAGTGTTTCTTTCCAGGTAATTAACTGAAAAAAACCACCGCTCTTTTCTTTTTCTTCTGTGTTTCAGAGCTCCCTACAATATTAAGCGTGAACTCTCACACCCAGGAGATGGAGAACCGTCTGTTTCTCCAGAGGAGCAAAAAAAGAGGTACCTCAACAAAGTCTGGGATGCAGCAATATGGCAACAGTCTGGGTGGGGCAGGGTGCCCTCCAACACTCTTTATCTAACAATAGATGCATCTGGAAGTTCCCCAGCTGGGAACAGAGGAAGGGGCTTCCTCTGGAATCAAACCCTCGGTCCAACTAATCTCGTATTGTCAACTGGCAGGAAGATGTCCAGCCCTACCTAGAGATTCTGGGGATTAAATTTGTGGGGCCTTTTTTTACATGCAAAGCAGGTGCTTTCCTTCCTGGTGAGCTGTGGTCTTCAACCAGTCCCCCCGTACTCCCCGCCCCCGCCATTTCCTTCCCAAGATGTCAAGTATGTGAAAGTGAGGTTAAAGGCCAATTCAGCCTGAGAAATTGGAGAGCGTTACAATATGAACGTGATGGATTATAGATGAAGATATGGATAATCTGCTGGGTACCCCTTGGGGGTGGAGCTGAGTCAGTGGGTGCAGCTAGGGCAAAAGTGAGTGGGGATGACCATTTTATTGCTAGCTCTCATTTTCTTCTTTTTTCCCCTCCAGGCTGTAGGCAGGGGTTTTTAGCAGGAATTTGAAAGGATTTCTTGAATCACTTGAAATTAAGTCTAGGGTGGCGTTAAGGTAGTCCACAACCTACTGAACATCCTTGTTAAACAGATCCTGCTGTTCACCTGGGATTTAAAGACAGATTTAATCTTCTGAAGTTCAACCAATCTCTGGACTTGCCTTATTCCCACTTTAGTTGAACAGCATTTGGATGGAATAGTCTTTCATTTGAAAAATTACCTGCAAGTAAAAAGCTAGCAGGTCATGGAAAAGGGGAGGAGCCTCTTCTCTAGATGTGCATATATTTCGGGATGGTGCAAGGATAGAACCTGAGGTTTTTATGAGCAGGAATGTTATGTCCATTCACTGACTTTTCTTCTCTTCTTTTGTAGGACAGAAGCTGCAAGCAGTGTGCTCAGGCGAACGGCCGGCAGAGAACGCTCCTACGTCCTTTCAGCCGCCAAGAAAAGCAGCGGGTAAATCTTTAAAAAAGTGCCATGTTAACTGGGGATAATGGGAAATCTGGAAGGGGTCATTTCTTTCTTTGTAACAGCCCAAGACTACAAATACAAAACTCAGAAAATCAATAACATTACTGAAGCTGAATACAACAGGAAAGCGTTAATACAGGACAGTTGACTCTGCATGAATTCCAGAGGCAATCTAGCAGAATTTAGAGACATTTAGAGAAGCTAAGTTGTCTGGACGTGACTATTGAAGATAGAACCAGTCTCCCAGCTGTAAAAATGGCATTATATCATGTGTGCAGATGTTCTTCTGGAGAATGCAGTAGAAAAGAACATGGGCTAGGGTGCTGATGAGGCCCGTTCTTCATGGGCAGAGCTAGTCCACGTATTGGATTTGGAAGTGCCATTTGAGGAAAAGTATTAGCAAGAAAGAAGATCAATTTTCCATCTTCTTGGATCTTCCTTTTTTAGTATTGTTTTAAATTTTGGACGTATTGTGTTTTAGATATATTTATAGTTTTAATGTTTTCTGTAAGTCGCCCTGAGTCCCCTATTGTGGGGGAGATGGGTGGGGGAGAAATCCAATAAATAAATAAAATCAAGGTTTTGGTGAAGTGAAGATGAGCCATAGCAAAACTGGGGAGGGAACTCAGAAAGAACAGCTGCAGGTTTTATAGCAACATGCCTGTGTTTGTAGCAGTGTTTCTATTCCCTTTAATAACTTTAATTCACAGAACAATGAATGTACTTTCACTGGGGTACCCTGGTCTTTTGAACCCAAAAGGTTTTTCACTTTTGGTATATGTAATCAAAAGCTTGTCTGTTTGTAGAAGTCCAACACAAGAGGGACCAGCCTTGGTGGCCAAGAGGTAAGTAAGATGATAGTCCTTTCTAATGTGAGCAGAAATATTATCATTTTTCCCCCTGCCAGTTCTAAAGCAGTGTGTTGTAAGAGAATTTGCTCTGAAATTTCTGGGTTTTTTTTTTTTTTTGGTATTCTGGTAAGATTTTTATGGGTAGGTGGCCAGAGAGTGTGATGGCATAGTAACACCCACAAAAGACAAAACAAAAAAAACCTACAACCAGCCATGGTGCTCTACCATCTCCAACAATCAAGGCAGCTGAAAGAAGACCACCAAGAGGAAAAACAAAATAAATTCTCAAGTACTCTAAGAATAAGGAGAAAAATAGAATCTTCTTTTACAGAGGAAGAAAAACTGCAAGGTAGATTTTGGAACCAACATTCGTCCATTCTACTGGATGAATGGTCAAAGACTACAATGGATATTATAATTACTTATTTTGGGACATCCGGAGAAGAAATGGAGAATGGAGCTGATGACTGTGGCAGAATGAAGAGCCAACAAGTAGACTGGCCCTTTGTAATTCCTCTCTGGGAAAGGATAAGGAAAGGATTTGAGATCACCCACAAGTGCTCCAGACAGTTGCTCCTTGCAAGGAGACTGCAAGCCAGTGGTCTCCAGTAGATTTAAAGCTCTGGGAGATGAGGGAATAGCCATCTTGCTTAAACCACAGTCAATGCCTTCAAAAGGACACTGGGTTCACATACAGT